GAGATGTCGTTAATGAAGATTGGTTAATGAATTAAGCAACCATTCACGTATGTTATATTAGTATCCGGCGACAGCGTATATAGTTGCTGGTACTCAAGCAGATAAGCCAAAGAATAATGAGTTAATGGTCATGAAATTGACGCAATTACACAAGACACATAAGAAAAATGGTAGGTCATGGTCGATGGTGGGGGCGGAGATGAGACGCGTGTCGTCAATCACGTGATAGATTAAACCATGAAGTTTTTTTAGATTCTGACGATGACGACGATGACGACGGCGACGACGATGTACTGGATGAAGACCCCATATTAGAGCATCGAAGCATCAAGCTTCGTGGTGGTGTAAATCGTGTGAGAGTGAGTACATACCAAGATCCGTATTTTCCCACAAACAACCAACTAAATCCTATCTTGACCTCTCACCGCATGACTCGTGTCCACAGGTTACTCCACAACGCAATCTCCAGTTTTGCGCTGCATGGTTGGAAACCGGCAAAGTTCAAATCTGGGATTTGACTCCGCACATAAAGTCTCTCGACTCTCCTGGTTACACAGCCCCCCGAGCAGCGCAAAATCCCACACATACGGTTGACTGTCACTCTACTGAAGGATACGCTCTCGACTGGTCCCCGTTATCGCCTGGGAAGCTTCTCTCGGGCGACAATCATACACACATATATTTGACTACAAAGACGGAATCTGGATTTACGACCGATCAGATACCGTGTATTGGTCATGAATCTAGTGTCGAGGATATACAATGGTCTCCGAGTGAGAAGAGCGTGTTTTGTAGTGCGAGTGCTGACAAGACTGTAAAAATATGGGATTTGCGAGGTCAAAGAAAACCATCGCTAAGTGTGAAGGCACATGAGACTGATGTCAATGTTATTTCGTGGAACAAGTGAGTCAGTGAAGAAAATTGTTTGTTCTTTTTTATGCGTTCGTTTAGCTGATTTGTGCTTGCTTGTTTACAGGAAAGTTGAATACTTGTTAGCGTCTGGATCTGATGATGGAGTGTTTAGCATTTGGGATCTCAGACATTTCCAGCAAGTATCTCATAAGGACTAGTTGCCAAAATTGTTCCTTTTAACATTGCATGACTAAATTCTATTGTTATTCTTGTATAGATCTACCACAGCTGCTCCCACCCCAGTAGCTTCATTCAAATGGCACAGTGCTCCAGTGACCTCTGTGGAATGGCATCCTACTGAAGAGTCTGTTATAGCTGTATCAGGAGCAGATGATCAGATTTCAATATGGGATTTATCAGTTGAAGAGGACAATGAAGAGAGTAGAATTATCCGAGATGAGAGTGGAAGCAGAATACCTAGTCAGCTTCTATTTATACATCAAGTGAGTACATTAAATGATAAAGTTGTAAAATATTGTCATTATGATTTACTCAAATGCAAAACTGTTTGATTCAGGGCCAAACTGACATCAAAGAACTACATTGGCATCCCCAATTTCCAGGGATGCTAATATCGACAGCAGCATCTGGATTTCATGTATTCAAGACTGTCTCTGAATAAAAACAATTGTTTGATAATGAGTCTACTAATGCTCATCCCAGTCTGTTCAACTGTATTTATATAATAAATTATACTTATTTCGGGTTGTAATTTACGTATGTTGCATTTATCATTTATATCCTAATAAATCAACAATTATTCCATATATACAGCGATCAGTTATAACAAATAACTTATACAAAATCAATGAAAGTCCAACTTGGGCTGTTGTTCTAGTTAATATCGACATTCTACACATCTCCAAAGACGAACGGCTCATGTCACCATATGCTTGCTCATGATTGAATGTTCGCACTACACTTATGCTTTTACGCTCGAGCATCTGTTTACCTACAACTCCCTCTCCTCAACTTTCTCTTCTTGTTCCTTTCCAGCATGCAAACTCGGTTCTCCAAAATCTTACTGTAAATCGAGCAAATAGTTTGTCGCTCCCACTAAATCGTCCTCATATTTTTTCAGCGCCTCAATAGCCTGGTCGCTAGAGAAACCCATTCTAGTCAACTGCTCGAGCGGGCCATCTTTATCACTCTCTGCCTGCACTTTAAGCTTTGGTGGAACTATCGGAGGAGGAGCATACGACGGTACATTATATGGTCTACCCGCATTCATGCGTATGGGAGGTGAGGACATATTATATGTAGGATGTGGTGGGATAGATACTGGAGCAGCTGATTGGTTGGGAACCTCAGGAGAAAATCGAGCGGTTACTTTGTTGGGCTGAGGGGATAGATTAGGTTGAACGTGAATACCGTTTGCTGGTGCCGATGTTGGAGGTCGTTGGTGCGGTGAAGGGATTAACGAATCTGCCAAGATAGACAAGTCTTCTTGTTGAACAGATTTTGTACTCGGTACGGGAGTTGTGGATGGAGAGGACCATGTTGAAAGATAATCGAGATCAAATGGAACGTTCTTCGTCTGAATTATAAAGAATGAAGGCATGATTTAGAAATCAGAGTGGTTGACTTGAATGTTTCTAAAACTTTCTCGTAAACTCTCACTCGCTCTCACCTCATCATTGCTCGATGCTCGTTCGTGCGCAGTCTTCCCAACCAACCCATTCTCACTTGCACCGGTTAGAATAGCGTCTCCTTGCTGACTGGATCTCCTCTGCTTATTAACAGGTGTCAGAATCCTCCGATCTGTATCTAAAAACCCGGGCGCTATTTTGCGGGCAGCTTCCCTCTGTTTTCTGAGTTTTTCTTCACGTAATGTACGCAATTGTTCTTCCCTCAACTGTGCTCGGGTTTCACTCTCATGACGTCTTTGGTCTGCTTCTAGTGTTACTCGACGTTCTAATTCAAAGTCATATTTGTCCTTTGGAGTGGAAGAAAAAGCTGTCAGTTCAACATTCGTAGCCAATGCTGCATTAAACAAGGTAAACATGATAACTTAAAGTATAAAGAACACATAGTCTGGTACAATGGGTGCTGAATGAATAGTAGACAAAAGATGGCAAGAGTAATCTTTGGGTAAAGGCTTGCAATCACAAAGTTCTAAAATTGGGTAAAGACTAAACAAGTTCAGATTCTTTAAACAACGCACTCACCACTTGCCTCTGATCAAGAACGGTAAAATCGGGGGGGAGCGTTGCCTGTAACGAGAATAACTGCGTTTACTTTTCCAACTCGCTTTTCTTCAAACCACAAATGGATTTCACACTTACCGGTTGTATATAAGTAAATTGCGGTGCTAGTATCAAAGGTACGTCCTCGAGGGCGGCGTAGATCAGCGAAACTAACAAAAAAGTGAAAATATAAATTAGTAAGCAAGTGACAATGAAACCAAGGGATGCGAACTGCGTATTAAAAAAGTGCATCGCAGCTCATATAACTCACTGTGATCAGCCATATATGACAAGACTGGTGGGCAGAACGCGAAAGTAACTAAAGAGAGTAAGGAAGATAACGTGTGCGAGTCAAGATCTGAATTGTACCAAGTTCTGTATAGCGATGCTGGTTATATCTGTCTAAAAAAAGTCGTTGTATCTGCAGTTAACGACCACTGCCCTTTCTCCACCCAATACACGTACTGACAGATATGCCCAAAATATTCTCCGAATAACTCCAACAATGACTAATATAAACCTGTACATACATCCCATTATTCTATCCGAGATCTAATGATAGGTCACACAAGCATAAAAAATTTTCCAATTCTTTTTTCAACATTCTTCCTCTCTTTCGGCAACAGCGACACATCAATAGTCGACTAGGCCAAGTCAAGGCAGCACGCTTAAAAAAAATATAATCAAGGAATAAAAACAATGACCGACACTCTTGCGCTTCGTGGGACCTTGAAAGGTCATGCTGACTGGGTAACTGCTATTGGTATGTGGGTGGGAAGAAAAAAAAATGCAAATTGGATTGAGAATGCATTAAAACGGGGGAACAAGAGGGAAGAATAGACACGGAGAGAGCAAAAGGAAAAATAGAGAATGAGGATAAAAAGGAAAAGGATTACAAAATTATTTCATTGTGGAATACGTGAATTTACAACATGTTTTTGATTTTGCAGCAACCACATCAGAGAATCCCGATATGATCTTGTCTGCTTCTCGCGGTATGTGTGCTTTTTGGTTGGAAGATAGATGCTAATATATTGCTATTGGTGATACGTCATATGAGATTATGGTAAAACAAATCGCGCCTTTGCTATTACGTTATATTAAGATAAAATGCGTCTCGTCTTTATCTTACGAATGGTTTTTTTCTTTCAACCATTCGGCTTCTTATCTCCAAATATTATGATCCCGATCGACTCACCCCTCCCAATTGTGTTGACCCGCACTCGCTAAATTTTTTTGCTTTACGGAATTGGCCTTCTCTCCCGACTTTTAATTCTCTCTATCTCTCCAAATTCCCATTCTTCGACCAGATAAAACAATTATTGTCTGGCAGTTAACCCGTGATGAAACCAACTACGGTGTCCCACGCAAAGCACTCACCGGCCACAACCATTTCGTCCAGGATGTCGTGATTTCATCCGACGGCCAGTTTGCCCTTTCTGCTTCTTGGGATAAGACTCTTCGGCTCTGGGATCTCAATAGCGGTACCACTACTCGTCGTTTCGTCGGTCATGAGAAGGATGTCCTTTCGGTTTCATTCTCGCCGGATAATAGGCAAATTGTTAGTGGGAGTAGAGATAAGACAATTAAATTATGGAATACATTGGGTGAATGTAAATTTAATATCCAAGAAGATGGCCATCGCGAATGGGTTTCGTGTGTGCGGTTTAGTCCTAATCCGTCAAATCCTGTCATTGTCAGTTGTGGCTGGGATAAGTATGTTAAGGTATGAATCAGTTATTCCAATCGAGACGTGTTTGATGAGGGTTTCGTGTGATGTCTACTTTTATTTTTCAAATATTTGCTACTTAAGAGGGTTTATACCTCGATGAAATCAACTACCACAAACTGATCGATACAAAAGATGTTATTCTACATACTTTGGGTTATCTGAAACAGACTAGTAACAAAAGTCTTTTTGCTTTTTCTACCCATTCGTAGGTCTGGGAACTAAGCAAATGCAGGCTCCGCACTAATCACACAGGCCACACAGGTTACATTAACACAGTAACAATCTCTCCAGATGGATCTCTTTGTGCATCTGGTGGTAAAGACGGCATCACAATGCTTTGGGATCTCAATGAGAGCAAACATTTATATTCTCTCGAAGCAGGGGATATCATTAATGCCCTCGTTTTCTCCCCCAACCGCTACTGGCTATGTGCTGCTACCGCTAGTTTCATCAAGATCTGGGATCTAGAGACTAAGACTGTTGTCGATGAATTGAAGCCTGAATTTTTGGGTACTGGGCGGTTGAATAGCGATCCAGAGTGTATTAGTTTAGCATGGAGTCCGGATGGAACTACCTTGTTCGCTGGATATACTGGTACGTTTTCTGGAAAAAAGGGGATATGGGAAAAAGAGGATGTGGTATAAAAAATAAGTAACCATTTCCCAGTGTCTGTATCGATGCCATAAAATCTGCAATTTTTTCTAATTACCTACATTATTACTCTTTTTCTCTCTAGACAATGATATCCGTGTCTGGCAGGTAAGCAGGATACAATAATATAATTTAAAAACTAGCAAATACATTATTGCTGTAACCCAAAATAAAGCGACCCAAAGAATCGTAAATAAACTTAAGATACTATCTCCTATTGAAAAAGGAGCCTTCAACACGGACACATGTTTGTTCCATATGCAGGACATATTAATATCATTTCTTAAGTTTTACCGTTTAAAAATCACGTTGAATGCTCTTGTGAAAAAAGCATACACACGCACGGATGGAAGAAACAATACTCTTAATAAAGTATCTTTTTGATTTTCTGTCCCATTCGAAAAGTGCCGTTCGTAAACATCATTTCCGCAGCGTTAAGTATAAAGACTAGGATGGGATGCTCTTTCTTTACATGCGTTTGTGATCATGCCCTGTTCTTGCGACCTTCTATGTTTCCACTGCCGGGGTCGACAATTCGATAACGTCATCCGTCCATGAATATTTTCCAAACGTCACGTGCGGATAGATTGTAAGACGCGAACTAGCCTTTAGTAATGGAAGATGACGTTATGAAATCTTCAAGCTAACGATTAATACTAACAAAGACTAAAATTAACAGCTATCGAAAAAAAAAAAGTGCATTCACAAAGTGGTTCTGC